GTATTAGTCTTGCAATGCCTATTTAAAAAAATATGCAGGTGTTGCTAAATTAACTCTTTATGCAATTTGTGTCACTATCAAATCAGTTTTTGTCTCTGTATCTGGAGAAAACCTTTAAATAAATCCAGAAGTTTCCACAATGCAGCATAACATCATCTTCTCTAGCACTTCTGTAACCAATATGACAATATTCTCCTAGGATTAGGTGCAATCCAGAGGGACTATTTGTTAATGGCATTCTATCATACCAGTTTTGCTTCCATTGCTCTCTTTGGAGTGAACAAACTGGGTAGACCTGAACAATTTATTATTTAAATTTGAAAAATATATTTTTTCTGCTTTGCCTGCATTGATCTAGGAGTTTGATCTGTTATTTACAATATTTAAGTAAATGGGCAATCTGATATTTTCATCCATTTAGCCTGAAATTATAATTTACGAGCAGTCTGTCTTCTCTGTCTTTTTCTCTCTGACTCTCTCTCTTATTATTTGATACCAGATTATCCACAAACATTCATTCATTCATTCATTCATTTTAATTATCAAATACATGAGAGATCAAAAGGAATCTGGAAAAACATCAAAGTTTCATTTAAAAATAACCAGAAAATACCCTGAATGGTATTCATGTGTGTTATTTACAAATGCAATAAGAAATACCATAAAAGTAATTACAACAGATTAATGACGAAGACCAAGTCTTCCTTTAATACATTATCCTCTCAATTTTTTTCCTTGGATGACTCATTTCTGTGAAAATGGGTGCTTTTTCCAAAATCAATTTCTCTCAGAGAACATTTCAATATTAAAACATCAGCACTGAATCATAAATACATTAAAGTGGCACGGAGAGAAAAAGAAAGACAAGATAAAGTTGTGATGATGCCAAGAAGGAAGTACATGGGGAGGAAAACTAGCAATTCCCAAAATATGCATGCATTACCCTGTAATCAGCCTGAAGTGTTAATTAGACTCATATGAATGATGGGTATTTCAGAATATGTTTAGGATTTGTAGCTTATTTTAGAAATGTATTATAGGTATTTCTGTAGCTGTTACCAAGGGAAAAATTCATTATCAATTTGTTAAGCATAATCTTGGATGTGAATATAAGCTTGCCCTCTGATAGATATTTCTTTATTTAATTTGTATACCACCAGCCTCAACTGACTCCCTGTGGTTTACATCATAGTCACCTAAAATGAAATACAATTAAATATAGCAAACAATATAATAATGAAAAACTAGATCCACAAGCACTACAAAGACACTGTGAAAGAAACCCTAATTAGCACCAGAAGCTTCCATGCTGCCACCCTCTACCACTGTGACATACAACCATGAGAGCTAAAGGCTGCAGCTGCATTGTGGCCCTGGGCTATTTCTATGGAGCTCCGCCAGCTTTGAAGAAAGCCACCGATACCTGATAGAAAACCATGAGTGGCATCACAGAATAACATCTACAATTACTACAGCAATGGACTTTCAGTGCCTCCATTTGTGCTTCCGGACTAGGACTTCAGAATCACCTCTGCAAATGAACTGTACAAGTAGTTCTCAATTTATGACCACAAAAAAAAATTCTGTTGCTAAGTGAGGCATTTGTTAAGTGAATTTTGCCCATTTTATGACCTTTCTTGCCACAGTTGTTAAAGTGAATCATTGCAGTTGGTAAATTAGTAACATGGTGTTATGTGAATCTGGCTTCCCCGTTGACTTAGGTTGTCAGAAGGTCGCAAAAGGTGATCACATGATCCCAGGACACTGCAACCATCATAAATCTGAATCAATTGCCAAGCATCTGAATTTTAATCACTTGATCTTGGGGATGTTGCAACGGTCGTATGAAGAACGGTCATAAGTCACTTTTTTCAGTGCTGTTGTAACTTTGGTCACTAAACGAACTGTTGTAAGTTGAGGGCTACCTGTACAGCAGTGTTTCTCTTTCAACCCCAAAAGATTACTATCAATCAATCAATCAATCAATCAATCTTGGGTATAATTACCAGGTTGCAGTTTTAGATGTACTTTTTTCTCCTTTCTAAAGATAAGGGCAACTTTTGCTCTCTTCTGGTCATCTGGCAGTCCACCAGACTGATAAATGAATTTCAGCGATAACAATATGATAGCACCAATTAGTTTCTTCACTTCACTATCTGAGGATAATTTCTTCATTATCCTGCACCACCAAGGCTCCACCAAGGAGCCTTGGTGGTGCAGCAGACTAAAGTGCTGTTAAGTAGCACCTAGCTGCCAGCTGTCTGCAATTACTGCGAGTTCAAATTTCACCAGGCTTAAGGTTGACTCAGCCTTCCGTCCTTCTGAGGTAGGTAAAATGAGGACCCGGATTGTGGCGGCAATAAGCTGACTTTGTATAAAAAAGAACACCACTTAGGGGGGGCCAAAAGCCCTACTAAGCAGGTATATACAAAAGTATGACCGCTATTACTTAACGCATTGTAAGCCACCCTGAGTCTCTGGAGAAGGCGGCATATAAATCGAACCAATACAATAAATTATATTAAGATGCAGTTCATCTGATACTGGAAATTAAACTCTAAGTCATGGGTGTCAAACTTGATCACGTCACGGGCCAGATCGTGACGTAGCGTGATTTTTTTTGCCTTTGTGGAGCTGGGGTGGGCGTGGCCTGCGCATGACGTATCCCTCCCATGGGCCACCAGTTTGACAGGCCTACTTAGAGTCTAGGTAAACAGTTATATTACTAAGTAAATAGTTATTCTCTGATCAACTTTATTCATCCTGCTCTTCACAATTATATGATGAAGTACATAATCTGCTGTTGGAGAGAATTGAAGAAGGTGAATAGTTTTTCTTTTTTTCTTTATTATCTATAAACTTTTTACTCTCTTTGCTTTTTAGCTGACTATATAAAAAGAAGTGCTTTTTTAGTATGTTAATCTCAGTTCATTCTGTTGTTTCCTAATTTTTTTCTGAATTTCTTGTAAGTGTCCTTTTTATTTTTGGATTTTCACTAAGTTTTTTGTATAGTTTGGTTTCTTCTGCTGTCTTCCTTTTCCCCTCATTGGACTTGTTTATAATTGTGTTTTCTCATTGATCTTAAGCTCCTTTTCCCTTTAGCTTTATTAACAATTTAACTTACAGACTTTAAAATCAACTTTAAAAAATTTAAACATGTGCTGCACCCAGATGTATTTTCCTTTAAAGTAAGGAACTGACTGATTATATGATAACTTTTTATTAATATTTATTAATATTCCTACTACTTTCAAATCTTCAAGAAACCTTCCCCAGATATTTAAAATCAATTCAAGTGACTAACAATTACTTTACTTGCATCAAACCCAAAATCTGATGCTTGATATTGCTACTATGCCCTCTGAAATAGTGTAGTTATCTTTCTTCATCCAACACAACCAGTTCTGATATGTCTGTACAAGTAAATAGTTTGATTTATTATTTAACAGTATTTTTCAAACTGAGATCTCCTTACCGAGTCCATCTGTTATTCTTCCTTGTAAAAATATCAGCTGTTAAAATATACAAATACTAATTGCTGTGATTTCACTATTGTTTCTAAACATGTTACAATCAGATCGCAAATGTTCTTACTTGTCAATTGCAGATGTTTTGGAGGGAGAAATCGCTGGGTTACTTTAAAATCTGGGAGGTTTTTTTTCATTCCAACCAATTAAAGCAATGAGTTTGTTTACGGCATAAAAGGGAAATGGGGAAAGTGGGAGACACTCCTCAGGAGACATTGTGATATGTTTGAGTTTGGGAAAACAAACAATTTTAACCATACAAGACAAGGAATTAATGCTGATGTGATGCTTTTTCTTTGGGTTTTGAAAAACATTTATTTTTCCTGGTTCTTTTTTATTTGTGTGCTTTATTTGTGTAGAAGTCCTCACTTATTTGCTGCTTACTGTGGCATAATTGATTTGTTAGCTGAAGATTTATGGGCATTTGTTGCTCAAAAAAGAGGAAGTTACTGGTAACTTGGTAGGGATATAGCAATATCTTGGTACAGAAGCTGCCAATAACTTGGTACAGATATATCAGTGTTGTTGTTTCTCTTCAGCCAGAAAGTAATTTTCATTATTTTATAATGCAAATTACTTTAAATAAATTTACTTTATGCTCACTGGGAAACATCGCAAATGCTTGATTTAAATGACACACTGTTGGTAATCTTAATAAGAGGGGATGAAGACAGAGGTTGCCTTTACCCAGTTAGAAGGGAAGTTATCCCTTTCGGGCAGGGCAGGGCAGGGTTTCTAATCTTCTTCTATATTTAACAGGGAATCCTCAGAAATAAGAGGTTGCTGAAGAATCAACTTCCCAACAAAACACTTAGAGGCTTAACTGAGCAATTTCAACATTGTCTGTTCCTGTGGATATCTATTAAATTACACTTAGAGGAATCCTTCGATCTTCCTTTAGTTTTCTTTCTGGACTTGTACATTAACCTATGCATTTTATTTTTAATTTATGCCTGAAAGCAAAAGTTTTGTGACATTACTGTTGTTTTTAACGTAAGTCAAACTCTTCGGGTAAAGAACAGCTGATATCTTAAGGATAATTTCTTTGAAATCCATGTTTACACTGTATTTGATAGTCTACTCTATCATTTTCATTCATACATACTGTATATATTGGAAAGGCTACAAAAACAATATTAAAATGTCTTCTACCAAAAATACAGTTAATATGAAAGCTTTTTCAAAGTTACATCAGCATATTGTACTTTGTCACCTGTCAGTATAACAAAAGCTTATTACTGGGAATTGGAAAAAATAAGCAATTATCTTAAAAAGGCTTCTGTTACATCTCTGGACAGCAGCAAATTTAGCAAGTCTCATATTCAATCATTTGTAAATTCAAATAGTTGCAAAAAAAAAATGGAAAAAAATATAGATAGAGATTTTGAAGACAGAACAGGAGTATGTTATTTTGTCCCTGCTTGTTTCATTCCAGCCATTAATAGGATCAATCTTGGTACCTGTAGTACTTACCATAACAATACCTCCAGATTGCTCTTTGGTGCACATGCTCATTATAGGTGCCATGCCAATGATGGTACCTTGGAAATAGATTCCACTAATGGAAGACAAGAAACTATGTTAAAAATAATAAATACAGGGAAAACAGTTACATAGGAACATAATTTTGGATTTTATTAATAGAGATGTAATATGGATGTAGGATTTTCTATGTGGTGCTATTGTCATTCCTTTACATATCCACCCCGGACCACCCCTACGATGCCCTTGAAGTGCTGTCCCGGTGCCTGGAGGCCATGCGGATCTGGATGGGGAGAAACAGGCTCAGGCTCAACCCATCCAAGACCGAGTGGCTGTGGTTTCCGACGTCCCGATATAGTCAGTTGGTGCCATCACTGACTATTGGGGCGAATCACTGGCCCCCATGGAGAGGGCGTCCTCCTGGATTCACGGCTGTCTTTAGAAGAGCATTTGATGGCCGTGACCGGGAGGATTTTTCATCAGGTTCGCCTGATTCACCAGTTGCATCCCTTTCTGGATTGGGATTCTTTACGCACGGTCACTCATGCCCTTGTCACTTCCCGCCTGGACTACTGCAAAGCTCTCTACATGGGGCTCCCCTTGAGGAGCACCTGGAGGCTCTAACTGGCGCAGAGTGCAGCCGCGCGGGTGGTTATGAGAGCGACATGGTGTACCCATATAACACCTCTCCTGCGTGAGCTGCACTGGCTCCCTGTGGTCTTCCGTGTGCGCTTCAAGGTCCTGGTTACCACCTTTAGACCGCTCCATGGCTTAGAACCTGGTAATCTACGGGACCGCCTGCTGCCACCAGTAGCCTCCCACTGGCCGGTACGCTCTCATAGAGAGGGACTCCTCCGGGTGCCATCGGCCAAACAATGTCGACTGGCGGCCCCCAGGGGGAGAGCCTTCTCTGTGGGGGCACCTACTATCTGGAATGAGCTCCCCCCAGAGATACGGAGGATCCCGGATCTACGCACCTTCCGCCGCGCTCTCAAGACCTTTTTATTCCATCAGGCTGTCCTGGCCTAATTTTTCCCTTTCCCCCTTTTTAAAACGCAAATTTTAATTCGTTTTTAATTTATTGGGGTGTTTTAAATCTGTCTTCGGCCAAATTGTTTAATTCGGTTTTATTCTGTTTTTAAATTTTGTATTTATGTGTTTTTATCTTGCGGCTTCTCACCGCCCTGAGTCCTTCAGGAGTAGGGCGGTATATAAATCAACTAAACTAAACTAAACTAAACTTTAGAATCCTGTATTGGATTCTATCAATATGTAGCCTATGTACTGGCTTTGTATTTACCGATTTCCTTTTTGTCATGTCACTAGCAAAATAATGTATCTAAAATTTTAAGTTCCAGTTTTGGTAGGCTTACCTGACTAGTTGTGCATTATCATGTGGTTTACGAGGTAGTAGTTTCATCTTTCGCCAATCCAGAAACTCATGAAGAGTGGTGAAGGGATCTTGAGTTACTGTACACTTATCTACATCATTCCAGACTTCTAATCCAACCAAGACTATTCTAATATTTAATGGCCTGTAAAACTGATGAGAAAATGAGATCAATATTCTTGATTATATTTGCGTAACTCCTAAAGTTAATAAAAGAGACAAATTATTGATATATAAACAACAGATGTTAAATAATTCATTGGACAACTTCCTTCTCAGTTTCTTTTCTCAGTCAGCAAAATGATGCCTTCTAAAATATTTGATGGCATACAAGAATGTACTACTTGATTAAGAGCCGTGAGTCTAATACTCAGCTGAGTAATAAATTACACAGATGATAGCTAGATTATAAGAAACAACTATCGATTCACAGCATTTTAAAATAACACATATAAAAGAGAATACCTTGAAATTATGTCAGGTGTGTCATAAATTACTACTGCTACAACCTCTGAGTTGGGTGAAGTATTCTTCACAATAGCCCACAATAACAGGGCAGGGAAAGAACGGCAGAAGTAGTAGAAGAATCTAGTATATCTTAATTTGGATGAGAAGCGAAACATCTTCAAAGAAAAATAAGAAACTTCAGGTGCCTCTTGAAAAAGCACCTTCAGAACAACCTGACTGTAAGATTAGACTCAACTGGTTAGTCAAGCAGACTGCTCTATAGCAAAGGAAATTATTAGAGTACCGATGAAAAACTTACCTTATCAACGTAGTTTGCAATTTCTATCAGCCTCAGTTTCACTTTTTCCACATCTTTGCCTTGTCTCTGAAACTAGAAAGGATTCTTAATCATTTGAATTATCAACAGTTATACTTATTGCTTTATAAATCTAACTTGCCTTCTTCAGAAAAGCAGTAACACCAATATATAGATTTTATATGGAAAAAAGGCCAGAGGCAACTTTCTACTGCTTATAAAGTAGAATTCTTATTTAATTGAAAGAGGCACAGATTGTGTGAAAGAATATAGTTTCTTAAATTTAAAGAAAATGTTGCTTTTAATTTTGTTTCTCACACAATTGTTTCATTGGGACACTTCATGCTGTACAAAAGGAAAAAAAAACATTTAGTTGTTTACCATGGATGGACAGGGAGAAAATATTGCTATTTAACTAATTGGTAATTTTTAAATGTAGAAAAATGCAAATGGGGATACAGTGCTAATTTTTTTTTATTTTTGATTACACTTCACAGCTTCTGCTAATTTTTACAAAGTGTGTCATCCATCTATTGTGAATTTCTTTAGAAAAACTTCAACAATTTATGCATCCTTGAATGTAACTTGTAATTGGTAAACTACATCTAAAGAAAACAATATCACAAATGTTTTCTTATTTACAGAAGACATTTCCATTCCCTCTGGATCAAAGTTAGGCAATGCAGCAAAGATTTAAATGTCCAAATGGGACAGATTATTATTTTAGCATTGTGTGGAAAATTCAGAATAGGGTTACTATTATTCCATTAATTTATAAATACATGTATGTTTTTATACCCACAATCTTTTTTTAACTTTAGGTTTTGCTTACCTCCCGATTATCAGCCACAATAACGAGCTCCACATACTTGGTGGACTTCAGAGTTTCTCTTTTGTGCTATCAAAATAAGCATGAGATAAGAGCTGTTATTATTTGAAGGAGATTTACATTTCTACGTATATCTTTCTACCACAGTACTCTAATACCAAGCTATTTAAATATACTGCTCAAAAAAATAAAGGGAACACAAGCAGAAGACATCCGAGATCTGAATAATGAAATGGCCTTATTAAATAGTTTGTTCTTTACATACAGTAGTTTATACACTGCTCAAACAACTAAAGGGAACACAAAACTACTGTATGTAAAGAACAAAGTATTTAATAAGGCTATTTCATTCATTCAGATCTCGGATGTCTTCTGCTTGTGTTCCCTTTATTTTTTTGAGCAGTGTATTATGAATAATCTACAGATAAAAAAATTGACCAATCATTTCAAAGGTGGTCTAGGCCTCTAGGTACAGGGAAAACCAAAATTTCCTTAGCTTCAATAAGCACCAAGGTTATTTCAAATATCATATTCTGGATATATTACTCACTTCTACTTCAGTGTTGTACAAGATTTGATATTTTTCAAAATTAACATATCACCTATATGTCATTCTATCGTAAAAAAGCTGATATAACAACCACATCAGCCATATCATACACTAAACATGGAACATCTCCATGAAGTCTAACAATTCACTCTTATACCTTAATTTATAGCAATAGCATTAGCACTTAGACTTATATATACTTCACAGTGCTTTACAGCTCTCTCTAAGCAGTTTACAGAGTCAGCATATTGCCCCCAACAATCTGGGTCCTCATTTTACTGACCTCGGAAGGATGGAAGGCTGAGTCAACCTTGAGCCAGTGAGAATCGAACTGCTGAAATGCTGGCAGACGGCAGTCAGCAGAAGTAGCCTGCAATACTGCATTCTAACCAGTGTGCCACCTTATGCAAATAGCATCTACTTTACAAAGCAGTGTAGCTGCTTATTCACTTGTTGTACTTAGACACATTTTCATGAATAAAAGTGATACATTTATAGGTACATATCTTAAACAACCCCCAAAATGGGAAATATATATTAACATAAATTCATATGAAATTATAAATAAAAAATTATTTTAAGATATATGCACATAGTTACAATGGGAAGTATTATATATTCTGATTATAAAGTTAGGCATGACCCATTTTTCAGCAATTAAAAAAAATAAAAATGAACTTTCAATAGTATGTATTATGTATCACTTAAAGCTTTTATTGTTTCAAATTAAATAGTGCTTAGTATGGTGAATGTTAAAAATGTATTGCTATTGCAATTCCTCCAAATAACTAGAGCAGTCCAATTTTGATTTCTTGTTCTAAAACTATGATTTTCAAATCACCTCAATCTGACATACTAAATTTGGAATCTTTAGCAAGTATTTAAGAAGAAAAACTGTGCTTTGCTAAAAGACACTGGTCCATTCATCATTATTAATCACTTACAACAAGTACTTAGCAATAGTGGGTTCCTCTTATCTTCACTACCGGTTCAGAACCGGGAGCATATGTGTGTGCAGAACCTTCTGTGCATGCGTAGAGCGTCCGTGATGATGTCTGGGTGGGTGGGCGGAGCCTCCCACCGGCACCACTACTGGTTCCCCCAAATCAGGGCGAACTGGTAGAAACCCACCACTGGTACTTACTCCCAAGAACACCACTCCAAAATACACAACAAGCTTTTATTTTTGTAAAATCTGGATCTAATCTTCTATTATTATGACAATGGTAAATTGTCTGAGTGTGGTAATCTAAATGTGGAGATCTTGGTGCTCTCCAAACTTGGCTGTTTGTTTACAAACATCTCATTACCCAATTACAAAATATCATCAAACCTGGTGAGTGTGGGATTTGCTCTCTCTTTATATACAGTAGCTTGCCCTGCATTGTTGGTGGGAGGCTGTTTTTCTCCTTGAGAGTTCAACAAACCAACAGACAAAAAACCAAACATGTACACTTTTATTAGCTGGCACCTCAATTTTGAGCCATAACACCACATTTGTTTCAATATATACTAGAAAAACATGAGAAAACTAAATTAAATTGTCACTTACTCTGCTAGTAAATGTCGGAATAAACTGTGCAGTGTCCCCCAAACTGACACCTGTAAGATTGAGATGATGGCCACATGTACCCAGGATTAGGTTTGGATGTTTTAATCTATAGATTATATGTTCATTCATAGCACCTTCCAGTGGCTCCAAAATGTAGGCTCTATCCTCAAAAAAAATAATACCCCTGTGATATAAAAAAAAAATACAAATGAAAAATTCCTTTATTGCATTTAGTTTATATTTTATTTGCAACCAAATGATATTTTTCTAAAGATGCAACATGGGATATATTTAAAGTCTGAAAATGTACAAAGAAAATTCTGTAAATTTGTGACGTGTACAGCTCATTACTTTGAAAAGATGATTATTTCTTTGTATTTAAACACTGGAGTCTAGCACCAAAGTATATTTATGCTTCATAGTAATGCATTAACATCACTTCAGATTTTTAATCCTTTTAGTTAACATGACTGCCTATAAAATTAATAAATGTAAATAATATTTTCTTTAGCCTTCATCCTGTGGACCACTCAGTCCCAGAATATTACAAAACAAGAATTATGGAAACAGAAACAGGAATTTGGGTCAGTTTTCTAAATCAAAGTAATTTAGAGAAAATTCAAATTAATGTGTTGAGAAGATGTGCAGAATTTCTCATCAGTGATACAGTTGTCTGCAGTTGTTCTAAGACAGTGATCCCTGACCTTTCTGGCTTTGCGGACTGGCGGGTGTATGTGTGTGTAAGAGGGAATGGTTCTGCATGAGCGGTGGGCGAGCATGTGTGTATACTGCTTCATTTGCAGAAGGGGCAGGCACCCGTGCCCACCGCTTGCACAAATGGAGCTGCAAGCGCATGTGGTCTGCAGCCTGGGGTACAGGACCCCTGTTCTAAGCTGTGCCTGCCTTAATATTCAATCTATGTTTATTCTCGTAATAACAAAACTGGTTTTAAGGTGGTTGATTTAATAGCAAGAAACTGCTTCTAAGAAAAATGAATTGGTAATATGGCAATGAAATAAATAATGAAACAAACGAATGAAATAAAACCACGGGGTACCATCAGGAATTCTTCTACCGTGATATTGTTATCATGTGATCTTGAAGGAGCCCATTGTGTTGGAACATGTTCTAAGAGCTTCTATGTATTTCTACCACTTGCTTTTGGTTTGTTTGTTTGTTTGTTGTTGTTGTTGTTGTTGTTGTTGTTGTTGTATTTGTGGTAACTATACAGAGCGTTGGAAACTAACATATATAAATCAAAGGAGTACTGTTGTTTTTAGCCATAATGCCAAACTCTGCTGGTAACACATTACTAGGATTAGACCTGTGTTTTTCAAACTTGGCACTTTAAGACATATGGACTTCAAGCCTACCGCATTGTAAAAATTGTCAAGTTGAAAAACAGTGGATTAGATTGTGAGAACGTACCATGGCAGCCATGAAATTAAAGCAGAAAGGAAAGAACTCATAAGAAGTGCTAGAAGGCTCTTGCTCACATTCTCTTAAATTCACCCTGTTTCAGCATATTGGAAACATTGTGTCCATCTGCTAATTGACTCATAGCTGTATCAGATGATTGCAATCTGAATTTATGACCTTTGGAGAAATCAAATAACAGGGAATGCTATGATACAGTAAGTACAGTATAGCATAAAAGAAAGCATGGAGGGTATAGTTCAGGTCCTCCATTTGTTTTGATTGCATAATACCAAAGTGATTAGAAAGGGTGAAATTTACAAATTTCACTTTGACTACTGTATCTGAAATTGACAATAAGAAGCCTTGAACCACTTATACTTTTGCTTTCCCAGTTATTGTTTTTTTAAATTCTTTTCTCCAACACTTTGATAAACTCTGATTTCTCCTCCAAAATTATTTTTGGATACTTTATCCAGTTTTGTATGCATTCACTTTCACTTTGTGGCCTTCTAATAGAGTGCAGTATTCGCTAAAACAGGGGTCCCCAACCCCCAGTCCACAGACCGGCACACCAGAAACCGGGCCGTGGAAATGAGCGAAGCCCCATCCTCACACACATAGGATGCAGGCAGAGCACAAAACCATACCATATCCGCCAAAAAAACTTCTCTCCATGGAAGCGCTCAAAAGATCGGGGGCCACTGCTCCAAAGCACCACTGACCAAATTAAACTATATTCCATAATCTATTTCATGGCCATGCTAGATTTGAGAACAATCCTGTATTAGTAAAGCAGCTTAACAACATATATTTTGGCTTTCTTGTATTCTTTAACTGATCTACTTACCCTTAAAAGTAATATCTCTAATACTAAACTATCAGCTATGGATGGCCCAATATTAGCATATTTTACTATACATGGATAACAGTATATTATGTATATGAAAAATAAAATATTTCAATATTTTTAATACAATGGAAGAATCCAAATATCCATTCATATCATTTACATTTTGGATACAGATTTTAGAATTATAATAATTATAATATTAGATAACCTAATATTATGCAATCTGTGCAGGGTTAGAAGACTCCATAGTATTTGATTTTATGGAAACAATGATTAATAAATCTGATTTTATTGGATTTGATGTGATTTCTTCCTATTTGCAAACATGCAAAAAAGTAAATGGAAAGAATTATCTATGCATGAACCACAGAAAATGTAAAACTTGAAGTACAAGTTTTAAAATAAAAGCAAGAAGACTTAGTTCATTTACAGTGTACATGCAATGGAATGTTCTCTTAATAAATGGACATTTAAGGCCTCATTAAGTGTTCATTTCAAAGATGTGTTAGATAAGGGTGAGACATTGGGCAATTTCATGCATTCTTTGACCTATTTTCAATGCTTTGAACACTTTTTGCTACCTTTGCTGCAGCTATTCCTTGCAGAAGGAAAAGAAAAACAGTGTCAGCAAAGAGAAAATTACAGGAATCAGAACATCTCAAGGGCAATGGCCTCACCTTGGGAAAAACCATCTTCATGATCATGTTAACTCTCTTGCTGGGTGAAATAATGTGCTTTGACTTGCTTGGTGTCCCAGGTTAATATTCTTTCTTTCCTTACTAAATGCATGGATTGCCCTGAAATGAAGGTGGTGAACTTTCTACTAATGGATCAATCTGCAGAGATTTATATGAAATCTATCAAATTCTGTTCAGGTGCAATTACCACTGGAACGCACAAGTTTGAATGAGATTTCAGTTTAGCCTGGCCACTTATGCCTTGTGTAGTTCACTAGAATTTAATGTCGTCCTCTTATATTAATTTTTCATCTTGTTTTGTGAAGGTATATTATAATATTAGAGCCAATCTGGTGTAGTGGTTAAGACATCAGGCTAGAATTCAGGATACTGTGAGACTCCTAGTCCCACCTTAGACACAAAACCATCTAGGTGACCCTGGACCAGTCGCTTTCTCTCCGTCCAAGGAAGAAGGCAATGGCAAACCACTTCAGATCTTGCCAAGAAAACAGTAGGGATTTCTCCAGGCAGTCTTTGAGAATCAGACACAACTGACCAGAAGAAAAGAATCCTATATAGATAGTTGTCCACTTATGACCACGATTGAGCCCTAAAAATTTCATTGCTAAGCAAGACAGTTGTTAAGTGAGTTTTGCCCCATTTTCTGACCTTTCTTGCCATAATTGTTGTGAATCACTGCAGTTATTAAGTTAGTAACATGGTGGTTAAGTGAATCTGGCTTCCCCATTGACTTTGCGTGCCAGAAGATCACAAAAGGAAATCACATGACCTTGGAACACCACAACTGTCATAAATACATGCATATGAATTTTGATCACCTGATCAAGGGATCCTGCAATAGATATGGTCTTAAGTCACTTTTTTAGTGCAGTTGTAACTTTGAACTAAACGAATAGTTGTACGTCGATGACTACCTAATATTATTTTTATTTTTGTTTTTGACCATGAATGAAAAAAAAAAGGGATATCAGAAATAAAAAAACTGTCTGCATTTACAGATAGATTTACACCTTTATTTAGTTCCTGTCTCCTGCTAAGCAGTCTAAACAAATTATGTAAGAGTGTAGTGGTACTCTTGGTTTACAAATGCTTACATTGAGCTATATTTGAATTATAACGTAATTTGGAACTCAGTGGCAAACCTTGGATCAGATATGAAGGTAATCCTGGATTTACAATGTAATGGAACCTGCCCATCATGGTTTTAAATTGTGACTGCTGTAAATTGGGTTACCCATGTCATCAATTGGATTTCATGACCTTTTTTGTGGTGGTCACTAGATGAACACCATGATCAGTAAGTGAAGTAATGGTTTCCTATGGACTGGTGTGGCCAAAAATAGAAATTGAAATGCTGGTTTTCAGCAAAAGCGCCATAAAATCCAGTCACATGACTGCAGATGCTGCAAACACACATAAATGCAGACTGTTTGCCAAGGGCCTGATATGCAGTCATGTGACTGGGGGTGGTGGTGCAGTCATTGGAAATTTGAATTTGGGTCATAAGTACCCCCAGGGAGATCCGTTGTTGTCTTGAATAGTGGCTAAGTGACCAATTGTAAGTCAAGGACTACCTGTATCTTATTCTAGCTTCATTTTCTTTATTTTGCAAGAATCAAGGAGGTAGATAGTTCCATAGATGGCTTTCCCTAAATAATTCTTGAATCTGAAAGGATGGGCAACAAACAAATAAACAACACTAAGACGTGCACCACAACAAGTTCAGACAAACAGCTTCACATATTATAACAATTGAGAATGTGTTGTCATTTAAAGACAACACAAGTGAAACAAGACTGCTAACTGCACCAAACAAATCTGAATTTTTAATATCAACAATGAGAAAAATCCAACATTTAAAAACAGCAAAAGCCTAAATGAAACAAGATAGCATATAGAAAAGTCTGCAATAAACCAGTTCTCTGAAGCTAAGAAGATTGTAGGAGTCCATAATATCTTGAATCTTAATTAATAAAACACACAATTAAATCTAAAACCCAGTATCCTACATTCATATGATGCTGCCACAGGTTTTCATGGGCAACCAACTTATTTTGTTTTGTACAATACTATAAGAGGTACTTGTATAAATAACAATAAAGCAATTTAGCAGTATTAAAACAGCATAGAAACTAATCCTTTACTAAGTGTCTCCAAGGTAAACAAATTTTTGAGATGTATGCAGCCATATTAGAAAATGAATGGGAGGAAGAAGCT